GTAAAAGAATATCCTTGGCACTATATGCCATCTACTTTACATAAGATATTGTTACACGGGTCATCTGTAATTTCTGCTGCTTTACTTCCTATTGGTCAAATGTCGAAAGAAGCGCAAGAAGTACGTAACAAAGACATTAAAAGTATTCATGAAAATTATGCTAGAAAATGTGCTAGGATTGAAACGAATGAGGACCTGTTACATGGATTGTTAGTGTCATCTGATCCGCTTATTTCTAGTCTCAGAAAATTACCACCCAAAAAAATGTTATCATTTTCAAAAGAAGTATTACAACTATTGATTGCAGTTGAACCAACAGATGATTTGGAGGAAAGTGGTTCAAGTGACGAAAATTAATGCAAAATATTTTATTACTCACTTTTATATATTTTAATAGTTAATTTTAAATAGTCATTAAATATTAAAATAAATAATAAATATTTAAATATTAAATTGTTATTATTAATTTACAATGTTATTTTTATGTTAGTGCCACTCTTAAATAAATAATAGATTTTCAAGAATCAGATTTAAAAATATTTATTATAAAGTTATCTATTACGGAAAATAAACCTTGTGTAGTAGAAATATCATTAAAATGAATAAAAATGTGTATTAAATATTAAAACCGAATTGAATTTCTTTTTGCGTGATTAATTAATACAACAAAATAAAAGTTAAATTATTGTTTTATAAAATATGTATTTTTGGCCAAAAAACTAAGATATCTGGCCCGCTGTGCAGTGGTGGATGAAAATCTTTTACTACATGTTAGATTGTTGCATAGTAAATAGTTACATAGCTTATAAAGTGGATTCTAAAAACAAAAACAAAAAATATAAGTCACAACTTAAGTTCAGATCAAAGTTGGCTAGTGAATTGAGTTAATTTTTGTGTCAGAAAAAAGAATAGTTATACTTGTTCTGTTGAGCTTAGGAAAAAAAATAATGCACTCCTTGATGTTGGCAAACATGTTCTGACTGTAGAAAAATACCGTAGATGTGGTTTTTGTAGTATCAAAGAAAAGCAAAAAAGATCTAACTTAATCTGTAAAGAATGCGACAATACATTGTGTAAAAATTACTATGGCCCTTTTCATGGGCAAAAAGAATAATTGTAAAAAAATTTTAGTTACCTATAAATATATGTTATACTTAAAAGGCTGAAAAGTTTAGATTCATTTGTAATTTTTTATTACTTTTATAATATAAAAGTATTATAACATATTATGTTGATTGTCAGTTTTATAAAAATTCTGTTGTCTTAGTTCATTGATTATTATTAAATTCTATTATATAGAAATTCTATTCTTACATTAAAGATACCTCTAAAATTATCACAATTCATTAGCCTGAAAGGTTACAAATATTATAAAAAATTCGAATTAATTGGCCGCAACAAAAAATTTGTAATTTTCATGGCGCATTAAAAAATTAAAAAGAAAAGGGTCGCCAACCTACTAGGCGAGACAATGTATTGTCGGACCACAGTAGGATTTTAAAAAGAAATTAAATTTTGTACATTAAAAACAATTTTAAAATAAATAGAAAAGTATTAAAGATTGAAGGCGATGTCCGTTGAGTCGTTGATAGTAGATGTACACCAAAACCTCGTGACAGTTGTCACATAACCATAATAATGAGGGATAAACTTAGACAAGGCTGTTGCCCGTACCTTATAAACGCCATTAAACAAAAAATACATATTGAAATTATAGTAGCGGACACTCACGAAAAATATATTCATATATATTACAATGTTGCAGCGTACACAACAAAAAAAAACTCACGCTACGGACGAAAATTAACCGACAACCAGTTCCGATAATGGCTAATTTCCAAGCAAATGTCCATCGTATGACTGGCTGTCCGTTGGCGACAACACGGCTAGCCTTTAGGCGGACTGCATTGTGGGGGCCCCTTATACATAAACAAGGAAATATATTTTTTTACTTATTAAATAACAGTTATTATCATATTTGTGATACCAATGTATACCAAATTTGTGGGGGCCCCTGTGATGCAACCCACTCAGCCCTCCCCTAAATCCGGCCCTGAGAGTAGGGGTCAAAAAAAAATTAAATACCCAGTGCCAGAAATTACTAAGAACAATTTGAATCATAAGGCGACAATATATGATTACTTTACTGATAAACGCCGTCGCAGTACGCATTCGGCTCAACACAAATATATATATATATATATATAAATATATATATANNATATATATATATATATATATATATATATGCATACATATTCAAACAATGAGAACAATGCTTACTGAACACTTTATATATAATATAATATACTATATATAGGTATACATAAATGATAAAAAAAGAGGTAACATTAATTAAAGAACCAACTTTTTTGTTTAAAGTTCATATAGTCAAATAAAATTTTCAATCAATAAATGCACATCATTTTTTTTATGTAAGATATCAAATCTCCTACATAATAATATGTCTATTAAATATTTTTTTGCGGAAAATAAAAAGTCTAATGTAGTCTTAACTGAAGTGAAGTATATTCCAAAAAAAATTAAATACAATTAGTTGTATAAGCGCAACTATATGCTATGTGATATTGACCTCACAAAAAATGTAGGATATAATGTGTTCTTCAATAAAAAATATTTTTTAAAGTAATAAAATAATAACACCTGCTGAAATTTTGTTCTAGATGTGCCTACAGAAAAGTTTCGGTGAAATGGAAAACCATTTTAAATTTAAATTTAATAGCGATAAAAACCATTATTGTAAGACGATTCAGTACAAATTGCATAATCATATATTATCTATACATGCTAATATAATTAATTCCTTATAAACGAGAAGAAAAATTAATATTATATTAATATATAAAACAACTCGATTTTATTAAGAAAATTTTTATTATTACAGAATAATAGAATCAAAAGAAAATGGATTACACATGTACATTAACTCAAAAATTTAATGTTTTATATTTAATAAACAAATAAAGTTATGCGTAAAAATTTTAATGCTTTATTCAATTAAAATAAAACATTTCATTTAATTCGAATTATGTGATCTCTTTGACAAAAACAATGTTTACATTCATAGAAAGAATGAAATTTAAAAATTATGACATAGCTAATAATTCTAAAGTCCAAATAAAAAGTTATTAAAATACATATTGGATGATTCTATCAGCAATAGTTTATTATTAGACATCGTTCTAGCCTTAATTTTGATATAATATTTCTTACAACTTTTCTGAATTACAAACGAATTAAGTTAAGTATATATTAAAATATATATATAATAAGTATATATATAATAAATATAAAACAAAATGATAAATTTATTATTATTATAAGTATACAAAAAAAAATTTCAGCTATAGATAATTAAAGAAATATATGTATATAATAAAAGCTAAAAGTTGACTCAATATTTTTTCCAAAAGAAATGGAATGGCTAACGTTAAATCTGAGAAATAATTTATAAATTTTATAAAATATTTTTGGAAGAAAAAAAGTTAGCCATTACAGAAAATACCAATATATTATAAAAAAATCCATATTATAATATTAGGTATGTATCAGATTTTAGATAATATCACAAATAATAAATCACTAAAACTAATAATTTAACAATGTCCAAACTTTTTTATTCAAATATTACTAGATTGAAAAAAATTAATTTTACCTCGTTTATATATATACATAATTTTCAAATGTTTTTAAACAAAAAATAATAACTTCTAATACAATTTAATCATTACCATTTAAAAATTAATTTCCAACATTATATTTGACCCTCCCCATAAAGTATTATTGTTTGGTAATCACTACCGTTAGTACTAATATGCGAAATAAATTATAGAACAAAAATTAGTGAGTAACAAATAAAATAAAATGATATTATACTTGATAAACAAACAGTTTTATTTATTTATACTCAAAGCAAATATCTACTTAAAATTTAAAAAAAAATTAACTAATGTAATTTTACATAAATAAAATGTTATAGTTTTTTAATGACTATATTTTTTCTGGATAATGTTTTATTATTAAAAAGTCAAAATTACCTTGATATATATCTATGTTGGCAGAGGTGTCGTGGAGCGTATACCCACTTCTTTGTTTTTCTGTTAATGCGTATACTTATTAAATCATGAGTGATACGCGGATATACGGCGTATACCCACTGTTAGTTTTCTTATTAGTGTATATACGTATTTATAAAATAGTTAGAGTATAGACTAAAGAATAAAATAAAAAGTAATACGTGGGTATCGAATATAGGTATGTTTGTCATAAAACACAAATTTTGAATAACTATTATCAGTTTGTTTAATCTCTACAGCAGCGGTTCCCAAACTGTGCTCCGCGACTTTTTTTTGAGGGCTCCGCTCGTTACACCAAAAAAATTTGATCATTTAAAAATTTATTTGTTATTTTATACAATTTAAATATTTTAAACGAAAAATTAACAATTTAATTTTTTTTCAACTTTTAAATCCCATAAAATTTTTATTTTTTATTGTACTTTTTTTTCCATTTGCAATTAAAATAAGTGTAATTTATACTACAAAATGGAATGCATTTGGTTTGCTATGTTGTTTTATTAAAAATTGTATAGAAGTTTACAGCATTACAAAATTTTATTTACAACATTGGCNGTATAGAAGTTTACAGCATTATAAAATTTTATTTACAACATTGGCCTCTATTTCTTTTAATTTTGATAACTAAGATACGCCCTTCTAGCACAAAAAAATATACATAACATTTAATAAGATAACCGTTTATCTCAATTTCTCCAAAAAGTGAGTTTGGTCCTTTTTGACCCAAGGTCCAGTTGTGCATTATTAAATCCCGATAAGAAAATTTATAAATATCTACGCGACTAGGTCCGACGTACATTAATTATTTTGTCAGTTTATAGTGCGTATTTACGAACGACAGACGTGTTTTAAGTTTTTAACAATTATTTTATTATTTTATTTAACGGCATTATTTCTTTTAAAATGGAGCGATGGTTTAAAACGGGTTCCATTAAACCTGAGAATCGACAGCCATCAACTACTGCTAAATCAAAAGAGGAATCTGAACACTGTATTGATAAAACTACTTTAGAATCGACGATGCCTGATGTCGAGGTACAGAAAGGGAGTAAAAAACGAAAATATTGTGATTTATATTTGGACATGGGATTCACTGAGTTTGCTGATGGACGTCCTCAATGTGTAATATGTAACAAAGTTTTGCCTAATAGCTCAATGTTTCCCGCCAAACTTAAACGACATTTCGAAACTCATCCTGATTTCATGAATAAAACTACAGATTATTTTAAAAGAAAAAGTGATGAACTCCATTCAATTCAGAAAACATTTGTATCTCATGTAAAGACACATAATGAGAACGCACTGAAAGCATCTTACTTAGTAAGTTATGAACTGGCTNTTCATCTCGCTGAAACTTTTATAAAACCACTATTAGCGAAAGTAGTAAACTGCATGGTGGACGAAAAAACTGCAAATTTAATCTCCAGTGTACCCTTATCGAATAATACTGTGCGTAATCGAATTCAGGATTTATCACACGATGTTAAGGATACCTTAATTTCTCGTATTAGTCAAACTAAATTTTCGTTACAACTAGACGAATCTACGGACGTTGCCGGATTAGCTGTGTTAATGACGTTTGTACGGTACGAGTTATCAGGTTCTTTTCATGAAGATATTCTGTTCTGTAAACCACTTCCATCTTCAACCAGCGGAAGTGAAATTTTTTCTATGCTTGATGCCTTTTTCATTGAAAATTCAATACCATGGGACAATTGCATTGACGTGTGTACAGATGGTACAAAGGCCATGATGGGTAATATTGCTGGCGTAGTGGCAGGAATCAAGGAAGTTTCAAAAAAATGCACGAGTAGTCATTGTGTCTTGCATAGACATTCTCTAGCAACAAAAAAAATACCAGTTGTATTAAAGCAAGTGCTAGACAACGCAGTTAAAATTATTAACTATATTAAGACACGACCTTTGCAATCTAGACTACTTAAAATATTGTGTGAAGACATGGGAGCTGTACACAAGTCATTATTATTACACACAGAAGTAAGATGGTTGTCACGAGACAAGGCGTTGTCCCGCTTACTTGAACTTCGAACAGAAGTTTCTTTAATTTTGAATGACCAAAATAGTTTGCTCGAAGATTATTTGAATGAACAGGAATGGCTGATCAAATTATGTTACTTAGCAGATATTTTTTCGAAAATGAATGAATTCAGCACATCTATACAAGGAAAACAGAAAACAATATTTGATGCCAATGATAAAATTTTAGCACTTAAGAAAAAAGTAGCATTCTACATTGAAAGCGTTGATAATAAGGACCTTACATGTTTTTCATTGACCACAAACTTTTTACAAGAAAACAAATTAACAATAAATGAATCATTATTAGAAATAATTAAAGAACACCTTAATAATTTACTTCAAAATTTGAATTCATACTTTCCAAAGGATGCTCAAGAATCGATTCAAAAAAACTGCGAATGGATTATAAATCCATTTTCAGTGACATCAAAACCAGCAGCTCTTAATGCGGCAGAATATGAGGTTTTTATTGACATGGTTTCGGAGAGTCACAATCAGACGTCATTTAAAAACAAACCAATATCTGAATTTTGGGCTCAGTTAGGGGAAGATTTTTCAGTATTGAGATCAAAAGCTAAATTGCTCTTATTGCCTTTTGGTACGACGTATCTTTGTGAAATGGCTTTTTCGAGGTACACTGCTACCAAAACAAAATATCGAGCACGTTTAAATGCAGAAGACGATATGCGTCTCCAATTAACTTCTGTGACACCGGACATTGACAAACTTAGTCGCAAAAAGCAGGCACACTGTTCACATTAAGACTTGAACTTCAAGAACACATGTTATGTTATAAATAAATATATATATTTTTTCCAATAAACCGTAACTAGTTGAGGCGTTGTGCGGTAAAACCGACATTCTCCACTTTGAAAAAAAATTTTATTTTTATTTTCTTATTCAATTTTTCACTACATATTGACTAGTAATACTAATTTTTATCTCATATTTACATAGAGATTGTCTGTTTTGCCACGCCACGCTTCAGTTGTATTCTCATTTTGTAATTATAAGAATTTTCATTGACACAACATTTCATAAATTTTAAGTAATAAATAATATTTTCTCTTGTTCTTTTGATATTATTTTTTCTTTTATTTGTATTTATCGTTTTATATTTAATATCATATATACACGTTTCGTGTTTATTAGGCTTCATAGAATACAGGTAGATAAAACATCATGAAATATTTTTTGGGGCTCCGCGAGAAATAAATCTTTAAAAAAAGGCTCCATGGCTGAAAAAGTTTGGGAACCGCTGCTCTACAGTCATACCACAGAATAGATTAAACCAGAAGTGACACTCTTAGTTTTTGCTGATAACAAGCTTATGTCGCTCAGTGTTGCCACTTAAGAAAAAAAAATATATTCCCTTTTTTCTTTACATACGGTCACATTGTTCAACACCATTATTAATCGTTTGTTTGTAAACACAATGTTTATAAACATGGTTTATTGGTAAACAAACCGCCTACACATGTCATAAATCTGTAGCGACGCACTGATTATTCGTGAATTGTGGTTTGTCTGCGCATCATGTNTATTCGTGAATTGTGGTTTGTCTGCGCATCATGTGTGTTGTGTTCCGTTAACCGTTGTTGTGATACATTTTATAATTTTATTAATGAATTAGAAAATATTTTTATTAATAACTTTTTCACACTTGCTATTGTAGATGGAGTTGGAGCCGAATTAAAAAATTATTTTTGTATTGTACCTTTTAACCACCCATGTAAATGTTTTGATAAATTGTATTTAATTAATTTGTTTACAAGATTTAGAATATTTACAGCTATAAAATTTTTAAATAAAAATTTAATGTCTGAGAAAAAAATTAAAAATAGGAAATTGTCTATTTTAACTCATCTATAGATTATTTATTTAAGTATATGATATTTGTAAATTATTGTAATATATGTTTTAAATAAATTTAATATTATGTGGATATTGAATAATTTTTTTTTTTCCTAAATAAGTCTTTATTAAATATACATAAAATAAAAAATATATTAAACAAACTAATTACACATAATGAAAACATTAATTGAAAGTTTTAAAATGGTGTTATATGTTTAGAAATAATAATAAAATAAATCCAAAAAATTTACTATGCAAATTTTCTAAAATAATTAGCATGTAAATAATACATTTAGAGTTCAAATCAACCGCCGATGTACAATTATTGTACAGTACAATGAATTATATGCATACAATTATTTATTTTATTGTTTTTATGGTAACACTGAGCGACATAAGCTCAAAATTACCGTACTCCCATAAGAATACATGTAATTTTTTTATCAGTGTCCATTCTGGTTTAATCTATTCTGTGGT